CTGACAAGCCCCACCACCTGCAGGTGGGCCACACACACTGTCAACACAGTCTTGCCCCATGTGTGAACCCTGAACCCCAGAAGCAGAGCCAGTCATCCCACTGCAGAGGCCCCACACACTCCACTAATGTCCCACGCACTCCACCCACTCCTTGCATGCTCCCTGCCCTAAAGAGGTGGACCCACTTGCCCAGCCTCAGAGGATCTAGGCACCCAGCCTATGCAGGCCCACAAGTTGCCCAAGGGCTTGTTGTTGGGTGAGGCTAGTCCCTATGCAGGCTGCCTGCCTTGCCTGAGCTGGATTAAATAGGTAGTCTGGTAGGGGGGCAGACCCTGGGCTAACAGGCAAGGGGAAGAACTCCTATGGAATCTGCCAGCATCTGTATCAGCATGCTTGTACGAGGTCAACAATAATGGTTGCCACCAACATCTCCATCCCTGGAGAAATCTCACCTCTCACTGAGATGCACCCAGGGCCTGTCAGATGAGTGTCTTCACCAAAGGACTTTGTGCCTTTCTTTCTAGTGATTTTAGTTTGCTTTCTGAAATGGGTGAATTTGTGTGTGGGCTGTTTAAGAGCCAGCTTTTTTCCCCTTATTTCACCTAGCTTTTCTAGGGGTATTCCCCATTGTTGTTAGTAGCCAGCAAAGCCAGATATTATGATACTTGTCTCAGTTGTGCTGAGTCCAAAGGATGATATAGCAGTAATGCTCCCCCGTTCAGGTCCCCTACTCCTCCAGGGAAGGCTGCGTACCTTAGGACTGCTCCTGGCTGGCCATGAAGTACCATGGTTTGCAAAGGTGGCTTTCTTTCTCTCCAGAAAGGAATCTCTGCCTCTTCCACCTCAGTCAGGACTGTTCCTTGTTGCGGGGGTTCTCTTTATCCAGTTTTCAGTTCTCTCTCATGGGTAATTGTTCCCAGAGTAGTTGTAAGTTTGTTGTGTCCATAGGAGGAGGTGAGTTCAGAGTCTGCCTACGTTACCATCTATATTTTGTCTCTCCTGGAATGGAATATTATTGCCTGCTGATAGTGAAATCAAGTCTATGCTGCAAAGAAAGAGCTTCAGTAAGTTTTGAAAAATAATCCTAAGGCAAGAGCGGGGGAGGGGGAGGATGGGGAATGGGGAAGGAAAAATGAGTGAAAAGAGTGAGGAACTTAAGACATGGCGGGTAGAGAGAAGGGGTAGAGCCTGAGGGGGGTGGAGACTTTAATCTCCCTAGGAAAGCCCCCTGAGCCCTCCTGTGTTTGGGGGGGAGACTCTGGGGCTGGGGTTTGGCTCCTCTCCCCATTGATATTAGTTTTGGGGTCAACTCCTCTACGAGAAAGGAAGAGAGATTAAATAAGTTTTCTTTCCACGTAGTAGGAAGTAAGTTATGCTCTCTCTTGCAATCCATCTATCCTCATTCTCTTCCTTTTGAGAAAAAGATATAGCATAATGTATTCAAGATAACCTGTTTTGTGGAATCCTTGAGGTGGAAGGTATCCATAGCAATAGCTGTGGAATGTTGGGAAAACTATTAGAGTAGAGTCAAACCGCTTTAGATTTGAGTCTGGGGCCTTCATTGGCTGGGTGGTCTTGAATAAACGGATGGACCTCCTCTGTCTTCATCACCCTTGCCTGTAAGAAGAGTATAACACTGGCTTTTTATTTTTGTTGTGAGACATTATGGTCTGAATTGTGTCCCCCCAAAATCATATTTTGAAGCCCTGACCCCCCAATACCTCAGAATGTGACTATATTTGGAGATTGTTGCTGTTGTTAGTGCCATGGATTGATTCTGACTCCTAGTGACCCTGTGCACAGCAGAGCAGAAGCCTGCCCAGTCTTTTTGCACCATCCTCTCACCTTCTGTTGCTCTATCAGACAACGCTCCACAGCTATTCACAGGGCTTTCATGGCCAATTTTTTCAGAAGTGGGTAGCCAGGTCCTTCTTCCTCGTCTGTCTTATTCTGGAAGCTCTGCTGAAACCTGTTCAACGTGGATGACCCTGCTGGTATTTGAAATACTGGTGGCACAGCTGTCAGCATTACAGCAACATGCAGCTGCTATGATATGACAACCGATGCGTGGGTGGTGTGGTTCCCTGACCAGAAATGAACCCAGGCTGTGGTAGTGAGAGGGCTGGATCTTAACCACTAGATCATCAGGGCTGGCTTTATTTGAAGATAGGGCCTTTAAAGAGACAATCAAGTTAAAATGGGGTTGTTAGTGTGGTCCTAAATCCAATATGACTGGTGACCTTATAAAAAGAGGAGATTATAACATGGAGAGAGAGCTACCAGACACTCGCACACACAGAAGAACGACCTTGTGAGGACACAGCAAGAAGGTGGCCACCTGCAAGCCAAGGAGAGAGGCCTCAGAAGAAACCAACTCTGCCGACACCTTGATCTCGTACTTGGTCTCTAGAGATGAGAAAACAGATCTCTGTCATTTAATCTAGCCAGTCTGCGGTATTCTGTTACGGTGGCCCTAGCGAACCAATATACAAGAGAATGTGGAAACTAACAAAATGGTATGCTTTACCTGCCTCCAAATGCTTGTTTCCTTAAGTTGCATTAATAGAAGCAAATTATTTAAAACACAGGATGTGCCAGTCCTGTCGTATGCTGGTCAGAACCCACGGAGTGAAAGTAGAGTGCCTTCGTGGAGACAAACTTTGATTGTTGGGGATGGATGGCCACTGAGAAACTGGGTCACATACAGAGAAAGGCTATAAGGCCAATGAGGGGTCTAGGAATTGCCACGCTGACGGACGTAGCTAAGTTTAACCCAGAGAAAGGAAGATTGAAGAGGACATGAAGCCATCTCCAGATAGATGAAGTGCTCTCTGAAGAAGAATTCAGTTTAGCTGTGCGGGTCCAGAGGGGACGGCCGGAACAAGCGGGAACCAGTTGCCTTCAGTTCAATATAAGGAAGGCTTTTTGAAGAGAGCCCAATATAACAGGCTTCCTCAAGAAGTATTCGATGAGGCTGGATGACCACTTCTTAGAAATGTCAGGAGGGGACTCAAGCATAGAATCGTGTTTGGACCAGATAAACTCAGACGTTCCTCTCAATTCCGATAATCGCCGTACAAATGGATTGTACTCCAGAGTAAGAACAGGTTTCAATGGTACTTAGATATATCTCTTATGATTGTAAAAACATGGACATGGCCAACAAACATGTTTGAGCTTTGTTGATTTGCTGGCTTATTGGAAAAGCTTTAGATATTCTGTGAGAAAAAAATGCAATAAATATTTAAACAGTAGAGTTTGGTCATAGCACCTTGGAAATGTGGAAGGCTGCCCAACTGAGATTTTGAGGCCCCAAAGTATAAGCTTTAGCAGGAACGAACTGGTGTTAGTCAAAATGTTAAACTTTTTCTGTGCAAAGCTGTCATCTCAATTTTACTGAGTATAAATAAATAAATATACGGAGCTGGATTTATCTAGTAAAAGCTAATCCAGCCTAAAGAATTTGTTAAAATTACTCCCAGTAAGAGTCGACACAGTAAAAGCTGTAATTTCCTGACTACCATCAGTATGGGAAATTTTGGGAAAGCCAAGGATGATTTGGTGGCGCTATCAGAAACATGGTTTTCATATCCACAAATTGCTACAGAATAACGGGGTGCCAGTGGTTCTGAAGTGCTGCCTACCGGTACCACCTCATTAGCTCACACCCCTTAACTACAGTGGCTGGAACGCTGGCCCTCGGAGTCAGGCAGGCTGAGGAAGGCCAGCCAATCTTGCGCAGGCACAGCGGACGGCCAGAGCCAGTGGGGAGCGAGAATCGCACCCGCTATGGGGCGAGCTCGGCACGAAAAATGGCACAGACAGCACCAATCAAGCGAACTCTCTCGACTGGGGGCTGGCAGAGCAGACCCCCTCGACTCCGTTGGGTTCCCATCCACGGCCCCAAAAGCCTCCCCGCTTCTCGGTACCCAACCTTGGGCAGAGGCACAGATCCCCCTACAGCTCCCCCCAGCAGGGCGCCCCCTGGGCGGAGGTTCGGAGGGACCAGCGCACCCCCAAGACAGGCTGAGTCCTCGCGCACAACGCCTGCTGCGCGCAAAAGGCAAAAACCAGGGGAGCGATGGAGAGGCAAGAGCGTCGTTCGGGCTCCAAGGGAACACGCACAGCCTTGGCTTGCAAGGGGTAACGCAGGAAAATAACAGCCTTTAGCAATTGCCCGCCCCTCGCCCCGCCCAAGTTAATCCTGTTGGCATTGAGGGCCCGGGGGTGGGGACCGCCGCGCTGCGCACTCTTGACCCGGGGCTTGGAGCTCCCCCCGCAGCAGCAGCCTAAAGCCGAGCGCCCTCCCGCGCCGCGCGCCGGGGACACCAGAGGCCGCGTGGAGGCTGCGCCGGGCCCCGGGCTCGCGCGCAGCCCAGGCGGGGACGGCCGTCCGGCGCCAGGGAAGGGGCGACCGGCCCCACGCGCCATGCGGGTGCCAGAGCGGCCGCCAGGCGCCTCGCGCCCCGACAGGTGCAGGCGCGCGGGCTTCCCATTGGTCGCGGCGGCGGCGGGCCCCTGCCCCTCCCCGCCCTCGCCGGGCCCCTTCCCCCGCCGCGGCGCCCGCTCTCTCGGCGGAGGCGCGTGCCCGCGTGCGCGCCCGGCCGCGCGCCTCCGCCCCGCCCCCGCCACCCCCGTGTCTCCGCGCCGCCGCCGCCGCGCGCTCCGAGCTCAGGTAGTGGGCGCGCGGGCGCCTCCTCGGGGGCGCGCGGCCGGGCTGCTGTCCTCCCCCCAGCCCGCGCCCGTCCGCTCCGGGAGCCTGGGGAGGGAGAGCGCGGGCGGGGGGAGCTGGAGCCGGGCGCCGCCGCCGCCGCCGAGGCTTCCGTCTCGCTCGCTCGCTCGCGCAGCGGCGGCAGCAGAGGTCGCGCACAGATGCGGGTTAGACTGGCGGGGGGAGGAGGCGGAGGAGGGAAGGAAGCTGCATGCATGAGACCCACAGGTAAGACCGAGAGCCCCGGAAGGGGCTTTCCACCCCGGGGAGGCGCGCGCAGGCGGAGGAGGGGAGTTGGTGCTCGGTTCTACTCCCCAAGGGAGGAATTTTTGGACAGCGCAGAGAAACCTCACTGGGGGCAATAGGACCCATCCCGATCCTGGGGAAAACCGGAGAAGTAGCTGGGGGCATCCGGTGCCACATCGTGAGATTCCTGAGAGTGGAATGAATGTATAGGCCCAGGGAAAAGTGTTTTTTCAGCCCGGAGACGCTGGAATGCTTTAGACTTTCCTGTCGTGGTCACAGCCGCTGAATCCCCGGGACCGGCGCAGAGCCAGTGTGCGCTAACCCCTGCCCTCCCTCCCCTCCTCCATCCCTCCCGCACGCGCAGCATCCCGCGGCGGCTGTTACTCAGTGTACCCCGCGCTGGGGGAAACGGGGGGATCTCGGCGTGGGAAAGGGGGCGGGGGCCGCCCGGGGGAGGGACAAGGATGGAGCCGGGGAAGCCGAGGCTCCCGGTCCCAGGGCGGAGGAGGGGGAGCGTGGCCCCCGGAACCCCAGCAGCCTGGGGTATTGTCGTGTTCGCTCCTGGTTGCAGACTCTTGCAAGCCGGATGCCCTCTGTGGATGAAAGATGTATCATGGAATGAACCCGAGCAATGGAGATGGATTTCTAGAGCAGCAGCAACAGCAGCAGCAGCCTCAGTCCCCCCAGAGACTCTTGGCCGTGATCCTGTGGTTTCAGCTGGCGCTGTGCTTCGGCCCTGCACAGCTCACGGGTGGTGAGTGACCCCGCTGTCGCCGGGAGGGGGCACGGACGGCAGGGAGGGGGAGCCTGGCTGGTCGGACAGCCCTGTCCCTCCCTGGTACACGCAGACTTCTGGGGTACCCAAGGACCTGAGGAGCCCCTGTGTCCCAGCCTAAGACCACTCGTCTTCAAAACCCCTGGAGTTCCCAGAAAATTCTTCTGTGGAGCTCACACAGATTCACACACCCACATTCTGTCTGGAGCTTCCCACCAGCTGCCCAGCCTGGCTTCTCTCAAGGAAAAAACAATAAGCTTGGCCCATTATTCTTACTTTGGCAGAGAGAGAGAGAGAGAGTGAGAGAGTGAGAGAAAAGTGGCGAATTCGTGGTTAAAATGTGTTTGTGGAACTTTGACCCTTGTCTATGCCCTTAGTAGCCAGAGGTCAGGTTTCAGCCTCTGGAATTAGGCCAGGGTTGCAAGGACCATCTTACTGAATAGGAATGGTCTGAAGGCCTGGCCAGACTGGCTGAAGGACAGGTCTATTTGTAAGTTAACTTTCTCTTTCCCTGGGAGGCGGTGTGTTCAGGCATGTCTGTGCATGTTGGGAGTAGGGAGGGGAGGTGGAGATTCTCCTTCAGATGTGTTTCTGGAGCACTGCTTGGCTTACCCAGCTCCGATTTACAGGGGGAGTAAAGTCAAGTGCTTTTCTGTGAAGTGGAAGTTAGCTGAGATAAGATGGAAAGCCCTTCTCTCCATAGGTGGCTAGTCTATAACATCTTCGGGTCTAGGGGCGGGGGCTAGCTTTCAGTTGTGGTAGAGGAAGACAGATGGAGCTCCTCGGAGCCTCAGAGTTCCTCTGCCTCCACTGCTCCTGGCTGTCCATCACTGCTGCCCCTTCCAGATTCTCTATGAGAGCTTGCCCGTGTGGACGAGTTAAAAGGACAGAATCGTGTTTCTGGAGCTGAAATACTGTTGGTATGTAAATAAATTATAATTGGTGGGAAAATAGGTATTGATTGATGTAAATAAACCATTTCAGCGTTTTAAAATATTGCTGTTTCAGAGAATGCAGAGATGAAGATGGAAAAAAAATGAGTGAAAAATTAGCAAAAGTGGGGGAGGGGAATAGCAAGTTGGTCTTTAACACAGAGTAATCAATAACTCGGGGCGTTCCACTTAGAGATCTGAAAGATGCTGAGAGTATAAAGGAGCTTCTGTGATGTGCATGTCGATCAGAATTAGAGAGAAAATGCTGATGTTTTGCTTTGGTTGGGGACCCAGTTTGGGTTTTGGTTTTTGACAAGGGGTAAATTTTTTGGTGCTCTTATTTTTATAGAAATATCTCTTGAGGCAGGTTTCCTCTTAGAGGACAAGGTCAAATGGGATGCCAGGCCAGCCCCTGGGTGGCCTGCCAGGGCTCTGGTCATAGCCTGACCATAGACATTAGCTCCAGTTCGCGGGTGGTTGAGAACAGGTGGGCAGGACAGCATGAGTGGGGCTGGCTCAGTCCTTCTCTCTTCTCTTCTCTTCACTCCAGTTCTAGGCTTCATTCCCTCAAACCAGGTCCGTGTGATTTTCCATCTTCTTTGTCCCGTAGGTGACAGATTAATCAGGGCACATCTACGTGTGTCTTGACTCTTGGTATTGGCAGTGTGAGGTCTGGGCACAGCCTGGATTTGAAGGCTGTGCTCTTGTTTCTGCTGTTGATGTTTACAGAGCATCCTCCTCAAGGATCTCAGAGCTCAGTGCACAGCACGGCCCCCTCAGTCTCACAGCAGTCACCCGTGTGGTGGTACCACATGTCTTTTATCCCTCTTTTCCGAGGGGAGAGGATGTCAAGCAAAAAGCTCCAGAGCCTTGAAGAAGAAGGTGGGAGTAAGCGTTGCTGGTCACTTCACAGCTTCAGAGCTCTTCCTGTTTAGCTCCTCATCTGCTGCAGAAGGCTAGCCATCGGCTTTGTTTCATCTTGAACTCCTGGGGGCTGCGAGTGTGATTTCTGGAAGAACATCTAGCCTTTCAGAATTCCCCTGTGAATCAACAGTTTGGGTGGAGAAGGGCGGTGGGGGCGTGTTCTTTGGAGTTCACTGTACAGAGATTTCTTTCTTAGTGAAGAAACCCACGTGGAGGCTCCAGGATCATAATAAAAGCAAATTTATGTTAATTCTAGACCAGGGCTTCTAAAACTTTAATGTGCATATGAATCACCTGGGATCTTTGGTGTGGGATGGGGCCTGAGAGTCTGCATTTCCAACAAGCTTCCAGGTGATGCAGTGGCTTCTGGTCCAAGGACCATACTTTGATTAGCAATGCTTTAGACTAAGGCATTCCGTAAAGGAAGTTGGTTCTGACTCCAGACTTTCTGCCATCACTCTCAATTACCCAATGCAAATGGCCTATGAGGGAGATAAGTCTCAGTATCTAATCTTTAGGTGATTCACAGAGCTGAAACTCAGCCCTCAGAGAGTGCCTTCTTTTTTTTCCTCCGCAAAAAAGGTGCGTATTTAATAGACGCTGTTCTGAAATGTGGATTTTCATTTTTGATTGCTTTCAGTGGAAAAGGAACACCACAATGGCAAGATATAATAGCCTCAGCTAGAGGAAAAAAGCGTGTGCCCAATACAAGTGTTATAGAAAAAGCCTGCACTAGAAAGGGAGAGATGATCAGATGAAGAAAAGGGGGAAAGAGAACTCTATCAAAAACGAAATGCTTTGTCCTAGAACGGCAGAGATTCAGTGCAGTTCTTTGAGCCCTGGGAGAGCTTTCATGGGCCTGAGTTGGCCGGAGGTGACTTTTGGATGGCTGTTTATACAGGTTGTCTTTTGTAAATTAGGGAGAAGTGCCCTCAACTGGGGGCCAGTAAGACCAAATACCCTGAGAGGACGAACACCAGCTTCATAGGGAGACGCAGGACCCTGCTGTTCCAGAATCGCGTGGAGCACGGCCTCAGCTGCTTCTCTTTCTCTCCATCCCTGTAAGAGTTAGCAGACACCTGCTGGGTATTTGAGGGCTGCTCAGAGTGGTCCACCCAGGCTTCGAGGAAGACAGCTAAGAGTTTGCTCTGTAAGTTGGTCCTTAAAGGTGAACTCATTAGCCTATCCCTATGTTCTCAGGAACACAGGCCGAGCTCTGCTACTTGATGGCTCTGGGGCCTTGGGCCTTGGAAGCCTCAGTTTCCTTAGCTGTAAAATGAGGATGCTGCCACCTACCTTAAGGGGTTGGTGTGAGGGATGGAAATCATGTGGTAGTCACTGGGTAAATGTGGATAGTAGTAGTGAGTTTGGGGCTAAGACAATGCAGTAATCTTCTGGGCCTTTGCTTTATTTATTCAATAAAGATTTGAGTGACTTTCCCCACCCTGTGCCAAACACTGTTGTGTGTGATATTCTTTTTTTTTTTTTTCTTGAGGAAGATTACCCCTGAGCTAACATCTGCTGCCAATCCTCCTCTTTTTGCTGAGGAAGTCTGGCCCTGAGCTAACATCCATGCCCATCCTCCTCTACTTTATATGTGGGACGCCTACCACTGCATGGCTTGCCAAGTGATGCCATGTCCGCACCCGGGATCCGAACCGGCGAACCGCGGGTCGTTGAGGCGGAATGTGCAAACTTAACTGCTGTGCCACTGGGCTGGCCCCTATGATATTCTTTTTACGTAGAAGAACCTTCTTGTACTCTCTATTCTTTTGCCTAATGAACAAATTTCTCTTCAAGACTCAACTTAAAATGCCATCACCTCTGTCATATTTCCCTGGTCACTAAGCTGTCCCCTCCCCTGGTTCCCCACTGTGCTGAGTCCAACTCTCTATCATAACATCGTTCTTATCCACTAGACCATAAGCCCATTGAAGGCAAGAACCTTGACTTTATTCATTTTCATGTCCCAGGCACTCCGCACAGCACGTAACACACAGTAGATGCTCAGCTGATGTTGGTTGACAGCAGGAAAAAAGATTCTCAGGTTGCTGCCAGACCATTTAGAAAGTAGTTACCAGGGGTGTGTCACAGAAGTGAAGAGTTTGCTGGCAGTTGAGGCTGCTTCCATTCGGAGGTGGTCTAGGAGGTTGAAGGAAACATCAGGAGAGGCTCTAGGGAAGACGTGGCACTTAGGACGGCATCTGAGGGAGGGGCGAGTGGAGCACCCCCGGGCGGTGAGACATCTTGTGCAAAGGTGTGGAGGTGGTTACATGATGGGACTGTTCAGGGAGCAGAGAACATTCTGGTTAATCTAAAGCATAGTGTGCCTGCAGGGATGCAGGAGAGGAAAGAGGACAAAGAGGTTGGAACCCTATCATAAGTGTCCTCGGAGGCCCCAGTGAGGATTCTGAGTGTCGCACAGCAGGCAGTGGGGACCCACTGCAGGGTTTAGAACATAATGTCATCTGAGCTGTGCCCTGTTTCTTCTCTCTGCTTCCAAGCCTCTGACCTGGGGCACTCCCAATCTGGTGCCCTCTCTGCACATTAAGAGTTATGGCACTCCTGTGGTTGAATTAAGCCCCTTGAGGTCTTGTTTGGGCCATGTGGCCGTAGCACTGGGCTGTGTGCCAGCAAGGCAGGAACAGATACCTTCTGACTGGCTCGCTGATTTGGAGATGCCGGTCTCTTGGAGTTTTATTGGGAAAGATTTCTTACTAGGTCGAGTGTAAGCTTTTCATGCAATGTTATGTCTAATAGCCATGATTTCCAGTGGCACTTAATCTGTAAACAAAAGTCCCAACTCCTCAAACTCTAAAGTACGTTTCTTCAACAAAAAGCCACCTTAATATAAGCAACATGGACGCTCTTTCGATTCATCCCCGAGGTGAAATCTGAAAGCTTTTGGAGACATGAGAAGGATTTCATCCAGCAAGTAGCAAATCTCTCCTCTCAGGGGTCTGAAGTGGTGAGTCAGAGAGAATCACTGGTTCCTCAATCCCTGAGAGTAACAAAGAGTGTAGGTGAAGATCTCACTCCAGTAAATACCGATTAGATACGTGAAGAACAGCACCCACATTATCCTGTTCCTAGTGTCAGAGGCATATTTCAGAAGCTTCCAAG